TCCAGACCCAAAACGTCAGCTTTTCTGCTCCTCTGATGCTGCTTGGCCTGCTGTGTTCATCCAGCTCTACACCTTGTTATCTCAGATTCTCCAGCATTGGCAGTTCCTACTATCTCTGAATCTTATTGTGTTGTTGTGGTAACCCCCAATATTGCTGTGCACTCCCAAATAGGAGGAGCCTGTCCTGCCCCTTGGTTAAATTCTTGCTGATTCACAGTTTAACTCCATCTACCCACCTTTGCCCATGTCGTTTGAAGTCCCAACCCAATGAAAATCTGGGTCCTGAAATTTTCAGTTGACTCCCAACCTCAGCAACCTCTTGGGGGTTGTTGGAGGAGGGGACCCTTTCTGTGAAGAAGTACCCCCTGATATCATTGCGGGCTGGCGTAGCTTTAATTTTAAGGGTCCAGAGGTTTCTTTTTATCTATCTTGGTTAAACCACCCTCGACTTTCTAAATTCCAGGGTAAACAAAGAAAGTCTGTGTGCCTTGTCCCTGCCCATGTAACTTTACTCTTAGCACTTCATTCTCAATATCACTCTCATTCCAATTAATCTGCACTGCAGGCCCTCAAAGTCTGGTATACTTTCCTGAGGGACTGTGCCCATAACTGAGCACAGTTTTTCCAGATAGGCTTGGAAGAATGCTTTGTACAACCGAAATATCACTTTCTCCCCTTTGTGTTCTAAGCCTATTGACAGAAAATTGAAATTGATCATTTTGATAACATTTTGCAGCTTTGCTTTAATTTTTAGTGATCTTTATCTGGACTTTCAAATCCCCTTCCTTCTCTACAGCTTCTAGTTTCTCACTATTAATGGAATATTCTGATCCCCTCTCCCCTGATCTGAAGTGGAAGACCTCCCATGTCAAAGTCACACAGGCTGTAGATAAACACTGATCTTCTCAGCATCTGATAGATACATGAATTTAGTGTGAGTAGAGGCCTGGAGAGAGAAAACCATCCTAAATCTACCTTTATTTATGGATGCCTTGCAGACCAGACTGAACATTTGAAATGTTGGTTTGAGGCAGAGCAATGGGAAATTTTATTCTGTGTCTAATCATGTTATACCTTAACCAGAGTAGATCATGGCAAATATTGACCGTGATCTCATTGAACGGCAGAGCAGCATTGACTGGCTGAATGGCCTGCCTCTGCTGTTATTTATTTTAACCTCTTAAATTTCCCGCAATGAACAAAACTAATTTTCCCCAGCACTGACATTTCCACCTTGAATGAGCACAACATTCCTGCTAAATGAAATATAGTGGGTGGGGAGTGGACTCTTCCAAGTGAGAAATTTTATAAAAAAGGGTTGGGATGGGAAAAGGGAAATGAGGAATTATGAGATCTGAGCCATTCCTGCCTTGGTCTTACAGCTAATTATTGTGAATTCCAAGAAACGCCATCCATTTGTTAGGTTTCTTCTGCGCTTCCACAAGAAACCCACTTCCATCACACATTGGTGCCACTGATTAATATTCGTTATATGTGAGGGGAGGCAGTGGCATTGTGATAATGGACTAATCCAGAACCACAGGCCAATGTTCTGGGCACATGGGTTTGAAACTCAATATGGCAGATTAAAAATCTGGAATTTAAAAACAGATTGGTGACCATGTAAGCATTAATGTGTTATGAAATTAAAAAAATCCAATCTGTCTCCCTTTAAGGAAGGAAATCTGCTATTTTTACCTGGTCTGGCCTACATGCGACTCCAGACCCTCCGCAATGTGACTGACTCCATCCTTTGAGCAAGTAGATATGGTTCATAAATGCTGCCTAAGACAGTGACATCCTTGTCACATGAATGGACATTTAAAAAAAAATGTTTGATTGCTCTCTATTAGGAATATCTGTGTTTAGAATGACTGAACACTGTGTTTAATGTCTTTGAGTAAGCCAGAATACCTAATCATTGTCCAATAACCTGAGAGCACAGATTTCAGGCGATTGGCAATAGGAACAGTTGGGGCCATGAGACAAAAGCTATTGTTATGCAACAAACGGTTGGTTTTTTGAATGCACTGACTGACAGGATTCTGGATATAAACTCAATAGTAGCTTTGAAAAGGGATTTTGGTTACATACTTGAAGCTGAACAAGTCTGCAGGGGTGTGAAGAAAGAATGGGGGAGTGAGACTAACTGAATTTCTTAATGAAGTCTCCTGTGCTGTCCTATTGTCAGATTCTATAAAATTGCGAGAGGCAGTGAGATTAGGACCAGCAGTACCTCAGTTCTAAAATTCTCACCCTTGGTGTTTGAATCCTTTGCACCCTCCCTATATCTATAACCTCCTCCCACCTCACAACCCTCTCACTTCACTCCACAAGTTTAATTCTCATAATTCATGTATCTGTTTCAATCACTCCATCATTGGAGCTGCCAGGCCCTCGGCTCTGGATGTTCCTCACTTTTCTTCTGTACAGCGCCTTCTTTCCAGACACTTAAAATCTACTTCTGACCAAGATCTTGTTCTCCTGATCTAATATGCGCATACTCAGTCTCAAATTTTTCCCATTTATATTGCTCTGAAGCACCATGGGATGTTGACCAATTCAACAATGCTATGTACACCCATAGAATGATTATAACACACAAAAAGGCCATTCTATCCATCGTATTTGTGTTTGCTCTCTGCTGAAAGCAGCTGACTTAGTCCTACTCTCCCTTCCTTTTTGTGTAGGCCTGTAATTATTTTCCTCTTCAGATCATTATCCGGTTGATTTATTAGTGCACTGCAGACCCTAACCACTTGCTGTATAACAGAAAGAAAAACCTTTTCCTCATGTCACTGTCACTTCTTTAGGCCATCACCTTAAATCAGTGACCTCTGAATCTCAGAACTGTTACAGTGCACAAGGAGGCTATTCGGTCCATCATGTCCACAGTAGCTCTCTGAACATTTTGGCTAAGTGCCAATTTTTGCCGTTTCCCATAACCCTACCCATTATTTCTATTTAAATAACCATCTAATTGCTACTTGAATGCCTCATTGGAACCTGCTCCCACCACATGTTCAGGCAGTGCATTCAAGAGCCTGACTACTCACTGTGAGAAAGTTTTTTTTGTCATTTCACATTTGCTTCTTTTTTGGAAATACTTTAAAACTAATTCTTGACCCTCAGTCAATGGGGACAGTTTCACCTCGTCTGCTGTATCCAGATCATTTCCAATTTTGATGTCTGTCAGCCACAAAGGCAAATATAGATGGAATAAATTGTTTCCAAAAGAAAATAAGGAACTGCAGATGCTGGAAATCAGAAACAAATACAGAAATTGCTGGGAAAACTCATTAGATGTGGTAGCATCTGTAGAGAGAAATCAGAGTTAACGTTTCAGGTCTTCTTCAGTTCTGACATAGATGCTGCCAGACCTGTTGAGTTTTCTCAGCAATTTCTGTTTTCGTTTCATTAGCCTCTCATCATTTGGGCCATTTAAAAAATCTATTCATTCACATGTTGTGAGCATTGTTGGCCACATCTGCATTTATTGCCCCTCTTTAGTTGCCCTTGAGAAGGCAGTGAGGAGCTGCCCTTCAGAACCCACGTTATCTTTGTGATTTGGTATAACTGAGTGACTTCGGATGAAAGGAGCCAACCCCAGTGTTGTGGGTCTGAAGTCACATGTAGGCCAGACCTGGTAAGATTGGCAAATTTCCTTCCCTAGAGGACATTAGTGAGCCAAATGGTCTTTTTCCAATCCCTCCCCTGTCCCTGGTTGCCCTTCCTGAAAGCAGCTTTGTATTAGAGAATTATTGCCTCTTCTGTTGGCTCTGCCTTAGGCTTGAACTTGCTGCTGAATGCCCCGTGACTGCTTTATCTTATGATTCCAGGGCCTGACTCACCTTCATCAGCACAAGGTCATTCACCGTGATATCAAGGGCCAGAATGTCTTGTTGACAGAGAATGCTGAAGTCAAGTTGGGTGAGTGCAACTTTGATTATTCCAACTACTCTCTGGTCTCCTAAAGTGCTTGGTCCTGGGTTACATTTACCAGGAGTTGGTGCCCACTCTGCCATTCTTTGTGACTAAGTCTGGCTGTTGACTGTTGGAACCAATCCCCTTTTGCAGTGTGTAATAACCAACAAATTATATCTGGCCATTCGGCCAACTTAAGCCTGCTCTCTGCTATTCAGTCAGATCATATCTACCCCTGTGCAATGCTCACCTTGGTTACATAATCTGCGCCATTACCCAACAAAAATCTTTTGTTCAAGGCTTCACCTTTCGACTTATTGGTCCTCTTCATGGCTCAGAATTCCCAAAAGTTGTTGTGATGTCTGGAGAGACCAATCTATGCTTCCCGATGCCACAGAGGGGCCTGGATTGATCAGCCGAGTCAGTAAGGAGAAGCTCCCTCGAGCTGTATGTGGAGTTAACTCAGATCAACCCTGACCCATGCTTTTCTCTTTATCTGGCATTTCGGAAGGACAAAACCATTGTATCATCCACTTTCTGATGAGTAACCAGAGAGACTAGGTGCAGGAGAAGACTATTTGGCCTTTCGCGTCTACTCTGCTTTTCAATATTGTCATGACTGATCCTTCGTTCCAATGCCACATTCCCACTTCTCCCCATGCACCTTGATGCCTTTAATATGGAAAAAAAAATCAATCTCTTTCCTGAATATATTCAGTGATCAAGCCTCCGTAGCCTTCCACAACAGAGAATGCCACAGGCTAACCAGCCTCTGGACAAGAAATAGTTCCTCATATCAGCGTTAAATAGTCTATCGCCAATCCTGACACAGTGAACCTTGATTCTTCACACCCTAACCAGGGGAAAGATCTTCATTGCGTCTCGCTTATCTATCCCTGTTAGAATTTTATACAATACAGCCAGAAAAAATGAACAAGGGTGCCAGTTCTCATTGGACGTAATCCTGGAAGTTTTGTCATTTGAGGTCTTTCCCCTCATGGCACTGCCTTGCATCGGCTCCCTCTGGTGGTCACTCAGCATATTTCTGCTTCAGGCAGTCATGGCCAAATTGAAAACCAGCAGCCTCTCGCTTACCCAACTGGATGAATCCTGTCCATCAAACGGGCATCCTTTTCTTTCCAACATCTAAGCTCTGCAGTCCTGCCACATTCAGTTGTGAATGTTGGTGGATAATCAAACAACTCACTGGAGGAGGACGGTCTCCACAAGTCCTCAGTACTATTGCCAGTACATTGTCAGGGACCATAGGCTTTGCAGTATTCAGTATCTCTAAATATTTCTTAATGCTGCAGAACTTGCCACACTTGAAGCCAACCTGTCCCAGTACAGATACAACACCGGCATCTACCCAACAATGTGGAAATTGCCCAGGGTATGTCCTGTACACAAAATGCAGGATAAATCTAATCAAGCTAATTGCCCCACCTTGATTATCAGTAAATTGGTGGAAGGTGTTGTCAAGCAGCACTTGCTCAGCAATAACCTGCTCACCGTTGTTCAGTTTGCGTTCCACTACAGCCTTTCAGCTCCTGACCTCGTTACAGTCTTGGTTCAAACATGGACAAAAGAGCTGAGTTCCAGATGTGAGGTCAGAGTGACAGCCCTTGACATCAAGGTTGCTTTTCATTGAATGTGGCATCAATGAGCCCTAGCAAAACTAGAATCAATACGTATCAGGTGAAAAACTCTCCACTGGTTGGAGGCATACTTGGCACATAGGAAGATGGTTGTGACTGTTGGAGGTCAGTCATCTCAGGTCCAGGACATCTCTGCAGAAATTCATAGATCATAGAATCCCTACAGTGTGGAAACAGGCCATTCAGCCCAACAAAACCACACCAGTCCCATACCCCTACCCTATCCCTGTAGCCCTGCATTTCCCATGGCTAATCCACCTAACTTGCACATCCCTGAACACTACGGGCAATTTAGCATAGCCAATCCACCTAACCTGCACATCTTTGGACTGTGGGAGGAAACGAGAGCACCTGGAGGAAACCCACACAGACATGGGGGAGCATGTGAAAACTCCACACACACAGTTACCCAAGACTAGAATTGAACCTGGGTTCCTGGCACTGAGGCAGCAGTGCTAATCACTGAGCCACCAGGCCACCCCGAGTTCCTCAGGGTAGTGTCATAGGCCAAAACATCATCAGCTGTTTCATCAATGACCTTCCCTTCATAAGGCAAGAAATGGGGATGTTCACTGATGACTCCTCAGTTACAGGAGCAGTCCATGTACAAATACAGCAAGAACTAGATAGTATACAGGTTTGTGCTGACAAGTGGCAAGTAACATTCACACCACACAACTGCCAGGCAATGACAGTCTCCAAGAAGTGAAAATCTAAATCTCACATTGACATTCAATGGCATTATCATCTCTGAATCTCCCACTATCAACAACTCTCTATAATTTTGAAGGGTCTCCCTGTTTCTAATGCACTGTGCCTGACATATGCTTCCTTCTTTTTCTTTATTAACCTCTCACTATCACTTGACATGCAGGCTCCCCTGGACTTTCTGTCCTTGCCCTTCAATCTTAGAAGAACATGCTGGCCCTGAATTCTCACTAAAATACTTTTAAAAGACTCCCACTTTCCAAATATAGACTTATTTGCAATTAGTTGCTCCCAGACCATGTTTGCCAGATCGTGTCTATTAATACTGAAATCAGCACTGCCCCAATTTAGATACTTAATTTCTGTAATATCTGTATCGCTTTCCATAATGCCTTTGAAACTTGCAGGTTTATGGTCATTATTCCCAAAATGCTTCTCTACTGACACTTCAACCACTCGACCGACTACATTCCCTTGGATTAAGTCCAGCACTGCCCATCTCTGGTATCTACATTCTGGCACAAAAAACCTGTCCTGGATGGACTTTAAAAATTTCACCCTGTCTTATTCTCTCACGCTAAGGCAATCCCAGTTAACGTTAGCAAAGTTGAAATCCCCTGCAACTATAAACTTGTTTGCCTATGAACCTTCTGTGAGTTGCATTCATACCTGTTCCTCTATCTCCCTCTTGGAAGGTCTGTAGTAATAATTCCAGCAAGTAATCACCCCCTTTTTATTTCAAAGCTCTACCCTAATCTTTAATTCCTTGATTCTCCAGGGCATTGCTGAAGAGCTAGTAAACCCAGGCAAGAGGAAATGAGGCAGTACCCTGGCAGAGACTGGCACATCCTGATTAGTCAAGGAAATTCATTAATGCTCTCTATGTTTTGATTTGCTGTAGTTGACTTTGGAGTGAGTGCGCAGCTTGACCGTACAGTAGGGAGGAGGAACACATTCATTGGCACACCCTACTGGATGGCACCTGAAGTGATAGCTTGTGATGAGAATCCAGATGCCACTTATGATTTCAAGGTGAGTGTTGAATTATTTATTTAAAGATTGCAACCAGCTGCAAAGTGTTTTCTCACACCACAAAGAGACTGATCACCCCTGTTATTTTAAACATTTATTCCGGGGATCATTGAGAAGGCAGCGCCAATGGCAGGCAGCAAGAGTCGGAGAGATTCTTGGTCAGCTTTTGGAAGAAATTGGAGCTTTAAGTGACTGTTCATAGCTCTAGGCTACAATGTACAGATAAAAGTGCCTACTGCCACAGCATCTTGGACTCCTGGCGTGACTGGTCGGTTCATTTGCTCAGTGGTTAGTCTGGATCAGCTTGTTGCCAATAGCACAGGGCTTGATCCTCAATCTGGCCAGGATGGTTTCAAAACCTCTCCCCTTCACCTGTGTTGGAGATTATGTTGCTGTGTAACGAACCTGCCTCTGGGCAGAAAACTGAGTAAGTGAGTGACCTGCGATGTCTCTCCCTTCACTTCCACCATCTGCCAGAGATGACATGATCAAATAATTTGCCAGGGGTTTATTTTTTGTTTAAACCTCTTCGCTTTTCTGGCAGTGTTCTGAGAAAGGGTCACCGGACCAGAAGCGTTAATCTGTTTTCTCTTCAAGGATGCTGCCAGCCCTGCTGAGATTTTCCAGCAATTTCTGTTTTTTGACTCAATGTTCTAACATTCCCTCTACTTTTGCTAACAGAGTGATTTGTGGTCTTTGGGGATAACTGCAATGGAAATGGCTGAAGGAGCTCCACGTAAGTTTTAGTTTAGCCCTTTCCCTTTTGGTAATCGTTCAGTTCTTTCCCTTTTACTTTTTGTTCTACCTTTGCCTGTATCCCCTGTGGTTGTATCAACTCCTCTCTCAATCACACTCTGTCTTTCTCCTGTAGCTCTGTGTGACATGCACCCAATGAGGGCTTTGTTTCTCATCCCGAGGAATCCACCACCTCGACTCAAGTCCAAAAAGTGGTGAGTATAGCAAGGCCGGATGCCAAGTGACTATATAGTACCGTCTCCATTTCTGGCCATTATATCATCGAAAAGGATAATGATCCCCACTGGAGCAGATGCAGGGGATGAGAATGGTCTGAAAATGTGTGGTTTTACATTATCAGGAGAGGATAGACAGGCTTGTTCTCTTTTCTCTTGGGAAGATTTGGAATTGTGACCTATTTGGGGTCTTTAAAACAAGAAAGCTTTTGAACAAGTGGATACAGAGGGAATGTTTCCTGTTTAAAAAAAAACCGAAAGAACTGCGGATGCTGTAAATCAGGAGCAAAAACAAAGTTGCTGGAGAAGCTCAGCAGGTCTGGCAGCATCTGTGAATGAATAAACAGAGTTCTGAGGAAGGGTCACCAGACCCGAAACGTTAACTCTGTTTTTACCTTCACAGATGCTGCCAGACCTGCTGAGCTTTTCCAGCAACTTTGTGAATGTCTCCTGTTGTTGGGATGAACATACCCAGGTAGCCACCAAGAAATCCAACAGGGAACTCAGGAGAAGCTTTGTTGCACTGAGATTCGTGAGATTGTGGAACTCAAATGGTAATGGTTGAAGTGAGTGGTAGAATCATTTAAAGAGGAGCTAGATGATTATGTGAAGGAGAAGGAAATAGAGAGAATATGATGGTGGATTTTAGATGAGGAAAGATGGATGGAGGCTCGAGTGGAGCATAGACAGCATGAACTTTTTGGGCTGAATGGTCTGTTCATGTGTCACATCTCCTATACGGTGATTGTGAAGATCTGAATCATTCAGTTCCTACAGTGTGGAAGCAGCAGGTTCAGCCCATCAAATCCACACGACAGATCATCCCATCCAGACCCACCAACACCCCCCACCTACCCTGTCCCTTAACCCTGCATTTCCCATGGCTGGTCCACCTAGCCTGCACACTACGGGCAATCCACCTAAACTGCACAACTTTGGACTGTGGGAGGAAACTGGAGCACCTGGAGGAAATCCACACAGACACGGGGAGCATGTGCAAACTCCACACAGATAGTCATCCAAGGCTGGAATTGAACCTGGGTTCCTGGCACTGTGAGGCAGCAGTGCTAACCACTGAGCCACCGTGCCACCACAATTTTCCCTCCCAGGAGGTGGCAAGAAGAGGATCAATATTTTGCTGTTCTGTACTGCAGCTTTATGTACCAACTTTTTCTCCATTTCCTTGTACCCTTACACAACAAAAATAGATAAATCTGTCTGAAGCGCTCCAGTTGACCTGTAGCCTCCACAGCCTTAGTATAGAATGAGTTTCAGATTTCCATTATACTTGTGTGAAGAAGGGCTTGTTCATTTCAGCCCTGATTGACTTGGCTTGAACTTTAAGGTTAAACTTCCTTCTTCCGGGTTTTCCCAACAGAGGGAATCATTTCTCCTCATCCAACCGAATGAATCTTTTTTTATCATTTTCATGACCTCAAACAGATTCCCCCTTAATCTTTCAAACTCAAGTGTTACATTTCCTCTTAAATTATCTGCCCACAATTTTGCAACATATTCCCACTTTCAATATTCTCTTTTAAGCTATGCAAGCAGGCACTTAAAATAGCAAAATCCCTCAAACTTGTCAAATGCTATTTGCATTTAACAGATCCAAGTGCCTTTCTACATTTAACTCCAGAAACAGAAGGCACAATTTTCCCCTCCCTGGAGGTGGCATGAAGGGAAAATAATTCGGTGGTTCATCCCAGATATAAACTCACCCCTTCTTGCCAGTGTTGTGTTGTCTTGAAGTCAGTATCAAAGAATCCCTACAGTGTTGAAGCAGGCCATTCAGCCCATATCAAAGAGCATCCCATCCCCCACCACCTATCCTTGTAACCCTGCATTTCCCATGGCTAATCCACCTAGCCTGCACATCCCTGGACACTATGGGCAACTTAACATGGCCAATCCACCTAACCTGCACATTTTTTAGACTGGGAGGAAACCTACATCAAAACAGGGAGAGTATACAAACTCACATAGACTGTCAATCGAGGCTGGAATCAAACCTGGACCCCTGGTGCTGTGAGGCAGCAGTACTAATTGCAGAGCCACTGTGCCACCCATGTTAGTATACCTCAAATAGACTCAGTGGGTATCTTTAGGCAATCTGCTCATGATATCATCACCACAACATACAATGTGACCTGAGGATATATAGCTCTAGTACACCATCTTATCTGGGATCACTTGAAGCATGCTCTGCTTTGGTAATCGAGTAGTCTAATACTAGCCTGGTCACTTACATGCCTGTGAATTCAATCATTGCATACAATAGCTGAGTGTTGGATCTTTCAATACCGTGTTATCCATGCCTAGTTTCTTATGTGGAATAATATAAATATTGTTGCATCAGGCAAAGATTCGGCCTTTAATTAATCACCTCTGTAATTACGTACTGAGTAAGAAGGTCCATGAATTAACTTCCTGACTTGCAAGCAATTAAGGCCCTTAAAGTAGTCCATGAATGGTCACTTAAGGGCCTCATCTTGCCACAATCTGGTCATCAGCCCCTTGAAAGACAAGAATGGTGGCTAGTTTCTTGATTGAAAAACGATGACTACCTGCCTGCTGAGTTAATGGGTCGGGAAGTGGGTTTCATTTACTCCAATCTGGTGGCATTCAAAGGTGTGGATGTGTGGCATGTTGATTGGAGTCTGAAAGCCACCCGATGCTCTTCCCTCCTTGATATTCTTCTTCACTCTTCCCCAGGTCAAAGAAGTTTGTGTCCTTTATTGAGGGGTGCTTGGTGAAGAATCACGGTCAGAGGCCAGCAACAGATCAGCTGCTGAAACATCCCTTCATCAGGGACCAGCTCAATGAGAGGCAAGTCCGGATCCAACTCAAGGACCACATTGACCGGACCAAAAAGAAGAGGGGCGAGAAAGGTGAGTACTATTTGCAACAGTGAAGACAGGAGAACTGTTGTCTGTTTTCTTCATCTAATGAACGTCAGCTATTGACTATTACAATGCTCTCTGGACTGGACTAATGTCCCAACTCCCACCTCCATCAATCATGTGCCCATCTGAAAATTGCTGACCAAATTCTAACTCACACCAAGTCACATTTGCCTGTCCCCACAGGGCTCACTGATTCCTGGTCTTGATAAATCATTGTATTTTTCCCACATTGTTGATCATATCAATTATCTAATCAATCAGAATTAACTGCTCCTAGTACAGCAGATATGTTGAGTTTAATCAGAGTTTAAACCATAAAATAACGTACTTGTTACATAGCAAAAACATATGATGTGGTGGCATGTGGATGGGGCAACATGCTGTCATTACAAGGACAGCTCTTTTCTCCCTTCTTTCTTCTTGGTGCCTCACATCTTCACAGTGTCACCAACTATACAAGAAAGTGACCACGGACTTACCCTGAACAAAGTCTCTACACCACCCATTGCCCTGAGACCAACCAATGATTTTACTTTATACCCTTTATCGGAGGTGCATGCCTGGTTGGATTATTGATTAGGTCTTATTGCCCTATAATTAGTTACATTGCTCTGTATCACTGTAAGCTCCTCCAGCACCAACAGCCCTCCCTATTTCTGCAAACCTCCTCCAGCCCCAACAAACCCCCAGTGTCTGTCAACCCTGGCCCTACAATTCTCCCTATGTCTGTAATATCCTCCAGTCTCTACCCCCCCAGTTTGCCCCACATGATATGAGTGTTTCCAATTCTGACATTTTACAAGCCTTTGATTTTCATGACGTGATCATTGGTGGCCACATCTTCAGCTGCTTAAACTCTGAAATTCTCTCCTTAAGCTACCTCTCCTCTCTACCTCCCTCTCCTTTAAGACAGTTCGTTAAAACCTCTCTGTCTCAAAGGTTTTGGTCACTATTTCTTATTTCTTCTTATCTGGCTCAGTGTGTGACCTTGATAATGTTGCGTGGAACACATCTTGGAACACTTTCCCACATTAAAATTGTTACAGAAATGTACAATATTGTAACCTAATATGACGCATGACCTTTCTGTGATTACTTCAGATGAGACAGAATATGAATACAGTGGGAGCGAGGAAGAAGAGGAGGACCATGAATTCGGAGAGCCGAGGTAACTGAGCTTGAATCTAACAGAGGGATTCTTTATTTCTTCCAGTTTGTTTTCTTCCAGTTTGTTTTCTTCAGTGTCGTCTGAGTGAAATGGAGACTTTTGGATTTTGTTTTGTCCTTGGTGTCTCCATGGAATGGAGTGGGGAATGTTGTTGTTTGAGTCCGAATCTGTGTTGAATTTCCATGCCAAAGACTTGAGTGTTTAATCTAAGCTGGTAATCCTTGTGTAGTGATGAGGGAATGCTCCACTGTTCATGATGTTTCAGATGAGATAGATGACTGAGAGTCTGTCTGCTCTGTTCAGCGGACATGTGGCCATTATTTTGCGGAAGGACAAGGGGGTTCTCAAAATCCTGGGGCCAATATTTATTCCTCAATCAACATCACTGAAACAGATGATCTGATCATTTTACCTCACCACTGCTTGTGATAGTTTACTGTACATAAATTAGTGATTGACTTTCCTCTATTACAACTGTGTTTTATTGGCTGTGAAGAGTTTAGGGTCGTTCAGGAAATTCTTTCTCGACACAGATATGACAGTGATGTGCAAAGAAACCAATTTGTTGAAGGTTTCTCTCATTGGCCTCAGAGGTAGCTTCTCGGATTTGGACCTCACCCCAATACCTTTCCCCTCTGCAGCTGTGGTGTTGAAGGTTGTCCAGCTATCCTGATAGTACACAATTTAACAACTGCATTTCTTCCAACCCCATCCCCACCTGCAGCTCCATTGTGAACCTGCCCGGAGAATCTACCCTTCGCCGAGACTTTCTGCGACTGCAATTGGCCAACAAGGAACGGTCAGAGGCCATCAAGAGGCAACAGCTCCAGGAGCAGCAGCAGCGGGAAAACGAGGAGCACAAGCGCCAACTGCTGGCTGAGCGGCAGAAACGCATTGAAGAGCAGAAGGAGCAGCGGCGGAGACTAGAAGAGGTAATAGGGTTTGGGGTAGGATGAAGAACAGTCAGCCTTGTCTGTGACTGGCACTAGTTCTTTTTGCATATTTCTGTGGATGTGGATGGAGACTCCAGGAAGCTGCCTGTATGGGCCTAGCACTGTGGGGCAGCCTATGAGACTACTGGTAGACGTTTTGGTCTTGGGTCGCATCAGCATAGTTTCAAGCCCAACTGCACTTTTGACCACCATCCACATATTTTCATTTTGATGCAGAGGGCACGTTCACCTTCTTGCAGTGGACGTAAAAGATTCAGCAGCATTGTTTTATAGAGAAGGAAGAAGACTCTTCTCCCTGTGTCCTGGAGTCAATATTCATTCCCCAACCAAGATCGCTGTTCAGCTGTTATTATGTTGCTGTTTGTGGGAGCTTGCTGTTATTCAAATTGACAGCCACATCTCCTACATTGCAACAGTGACTACATTTTGCAAATTTGCATACAGTCATTGAAGGACTTTTGGATGCATGACATTGAAAAAGTCTTTATAGAAATGAGAATTCTTTCTCTTCTCAGTCGCAATTTAAAAACTGAAAGAGACTATTTAGCCTGTTTTGCTTGATTGCTATTCAGTTGGAATCCTGATTGATCTATACGTTAGCTAGGCCATTTGGTAACCATTAATAGCCTTGACTGTCAAAACCTATCAATCCCCATTTTGACATTTTCAGTTGATGCCCAGCTTCAACCAACATCTGGTAACTTTTTTTTTATCCTGTTAATTTCATACAAAACACAAAAACAGAGAGCCTGGAATGAGTCCTGTCAGCCCATCATACCTATTCTGGCTCTTTGAAAGAGCTCTCCAATTAATCCGGAAACTGATCCTCCTCCATTGCCCTGCAAAATGGTCCGTTTTAAAGGTTTAAACAATTACTTTCTGGACGTAACTTATGAAACTGCTTTCAGCACCCTTTCGGGTAGTGTGTTGCCGATCACACAGTTGCTGTATTTTTAAAAAGGAATTCCCCTCCCCTCTCTCTGATTCTTTTGCCAGTTAATTTCTTAAAATGATTCACAGGACATGGGCATCGCTGGCAAAGCCAGCATTCATTATCCATTTCAAAATTGCCATTTTGGTAGTTTCTTGTTACAATTCAGTGACTTGCTACAAGGCTTTATCACAGAGCAGTTAAGAGTTAGCAGTAATGCAGTGGATCTGGAGTCACAAGTCAGCTAGTTAAGGATGACAACCAGGTAAGGATGACAGATTTCCTTCCTGAAAGGTCATTAGTCAACTGGACAAGTTTTTGGGTTAACTTGGGAGTTACATTGTCACTATTACAGATACCGACTATTTACTTCAGATTTATTTAATTATTTGCGTTTAAATTTCCCAGCACCATGTGGGAAATGAACTTGTGTCTAGTTGGATATGAAATAAAAACCAAAAGAACTGCGGATGTTGTAAATCAGAGACAAAAACAGAAGTTGCTGGGAAAGCTCAGCAGGTCTGGCAGCATCCGTGGAGAGAAATATGAGTTAACATTTCACCCGAAACATTAACTCTGATTTCTCTTCACAGATGCTGCCAGACCTGCTGAGCTTTTCCAGCAACTTCTGTTTCTGTATCTAGTTAGATTTCAGATGAGATGTTAAACTGAGACCTTATCTGATTGCTTTGGTGTATAGAAAAGATCTCCTTGGACTATTTTGAGGAAAAGGAGGCAAGGTTATCCCCAGTCTGCTATCAAATATTTATCCCTACAATATTTGACCCCCAATCAGCATCACAAAAATCAATTAGCTGGTCATTATAACACTGCTGCTTGCCAGCGACTAGTGGAGGCTGGATCATTGAATGTATTCAGGGCAGAGTTGGACAGATTTTGATCAACAAAGGAGTTTAGGATTACAGGAGACAGGGCAGGAAAGTGGAGTTATAGCTACAATCAGATTAGCCATAACACTGTTGAATCGTAAACACCATTGACAGGTTTAATAGCTGACTCCAGCTCCTAGAGCTTATGTTCTTGCTGTTATTGGGAGCTTGCTGTGTGCAAAATCAGTTGTCCTGTTGCCTGCATTGCAATGTTGAAACATTTGAAAAGTACTTTATGGACTGTAATGTACTTTGAGACGCTTCATGGTTGCGTAAAATGCTATTCTGGAAAAATGCACATCTTTGTTTGTGCTTTCATTTGGGCTGGAATTCTCTGGCCTGCTTTGTCCAGTAACAAAACTACTTTATTTCTTTACTTTACAACTCATGACTTTATGCACCTCAATTAAATTTCCCCTTAACCCTCTCTGCTTCAGGAAGAGTAATCCCAGCTCCTCCACATCATTGAATGCCCTTTTGCCTGTCACCAGTTGATTAAATTTATGTTCTTTCTCATCAAATAAGGCTTCTTTTTAAGCCAAGGTATGGCCCGTTTATTGATTTCTGGTCTATTCTTATTGTTTTACCCTTTGACACCACCTCTCACTGGTTAGCAATTCAGCATCACTTGTGAAGTCGCATGATAGAGTAGCAGAGTTAGGGGGCATTTGACAGAAATGTAACCTTCCATGTTGACACGTGATTGGTAGTTTTAAATGTCAATGTTGTTTCAGAATCTGGCAGGATGGGGAAGAATAGCTCCTTCCTGTCTAGCTTTTGGTGCAAGTATGACTGATTGAATAACTGACTCAGTGATGACCAATGCAAGGGTAGCTCATAGTTCATGTGCAGGGATAAACAATGTGAACGAGCTTGTGTCCTCATAGTTTTCTCTAAGCCTCCTTGTATCAATGACATGGGATTAAAGAAAAAGACTCTGGTCCATCTAAATCCAAGTTATTAGAAAATACAAGGCAGCCAACGAACTCATCTAACTTGCCTTCTATCGTCACGCTCAACACATGAGGGTACTGACTGATTATTTGGATGGAAATAATGTGCAAGGGTATGGGGAGAAAGCAGCAGAATGCTGGTATGTAATGATACTCATCTGAAGAGTAGGTGCAGGCGTGCTGGGCTGAATGACCTGCTTCTGCACTGTAACAACACTTTGATTCCATGATTCTCTGATGATATAACGATAGTACAGTTGTTAACTATTCATGTTGTAGATTCAGAGGATTGCACAGCATGGGAAAGCTATTTGGCTCATCTACTATGCGTTGACATTTTGAAAGTGTTATCCAATTCATCCTACTCACTCCCACTTACCCCAATAAAAAAACTTCCCTTTTTAAAAATACATCCAATTCCCTTTTGAAAGTTTTATGTCCAGTTTCTTTTCAGACAGTGCATTGCAGATCACAGTAACTTGATGCTTTAAAAAAAAGTCTCAGTTTCTTTTGTCCACAACCTTAAATCTGTTGTCTGGTGACTGAACCTTCTGCCAGTGGAAACAGATGCTATCCACCTTTATTAAGAATTTTTCACAACTTTGAGTACATTTTATTTGATCGCTTTAACCTTCTCTGCTCTAGGGACAACAATCCCAGCTTTAGCAATCTCACCACAGGATTAAAAACCTCATCACTGGGACAATTTTGGTAAAACTCTCCAAGGTTTTGACTTCTGAAAGTGCAGGTATGCAGAAATAGACACAGTATTTTAGCTGGGTCTTAGCCAGTGACACAACATTCAGTGTAGATTATGCCAATTATTTCCATTAAACAGACCTATTACAATCCTGCTGTGTTCTGTTTAAGCCTTCATCAGCACTTCTTTCCCCTGTTAATTCATTCCACATTCTCTTACAAAGAGTCTTAATACGTCAAATGGGATGATTCTAATGACTGCTGTCTGAGGCACTGTCTTGCTCTCCTACTCAGCTGCCCCATTTGATTTCCCATAGTTGGAATGAGAAACCGCATGTTAGGTTGAAACATTGGATGTTGTTTCTTTTGGGACATGGTGAACAAGACATTTGACCTGCTGTACACTACTGCTCCCTTAATGTGAATCAATTGGTTGCAGTGAATTGAAACTTCTGATCCAGAATCCATTCACCTCCCAGAGCTGAGGTGGGGCTGGGGTTTAGGATGGGAGAGTTACTTGACTGTGTGTGAATACAAGTTTATAATATTATTGACTTTCTTCTTATGGAATCATATAAACCAGAGAATGTCCCAGACACTCTCTCAATCCTGGGAATACCACTGACAGGGCAGAGCCAGCAGAGATTGAGGCATAGTCATATGCACTCAGTAAGGAATTGCCCTGGAAGTCCTTAACATTGACTGTGGACCCACGGGGTCTTATGCATCAGGTCAAGCAAAGGCAAGGAAAAATCCTGATCTGATGAATCAGTACTCCTTCAGAATGAATACCACTTAGACAAAGTTACTGAGGGTAGTAAGGGCACAGAATATAGTCTGGGTGAGGGACTTCAATGTCAAAACCACTGCTTCTGACTGAGCAGGTCAAATCCTAAAGGACAGAACTGTCTAACTAGGCCTGCAGCAGCTGTTGAGAGAAGTAAGAAGAGGGAAAGATGTACTTGACCTCATCCTCACTAAGCTAAAGGTCATGGATGCAACTGTCCATTACAGTATTGGTAAGAGCAACCAACACACATTCCTTGTGGAGGCAAAGTCCCATCTTCACGTTGATGATACATTCAGTTGTGTTCTGTGGCACTGTCACCATGTTAAATGAGACAGATATTGAAGAGAACTAGCAACTAGAAATTGGCCACAGCATCAAAATTATGTTTTACCACCATCTATAACCTCATGGCTCGGCATATCCCAATGCAACCATTCCCATCAAGCTAAGAGATCATCCCTGGTTGAATAAAAAGTGCGGAAGCAGCACTAGACATACCTAAAATTGAGATGCTAACCGGTGAAGTTATGAAACAAGATGACTTGCACACCAAATAGCATATGCAGCAAATGGTAGATAGGGCTATGCGTTCCCCACAATCAATGCTTCAGATTTTAGATCTGCCGTCCCGCCACATCTAGTTTATGGTGGTGGACAATTCAACAACTCACTGGAGGTGGAAGTCTCAAAACTATCACTATCTTCAATGAGGGAGGAGCCCAGCACATCCGTGCAAAATACAAGGTGAAGTATTTGCAACAATCGTTAGCCAGAAGCGATAAGTGAATCATCCATTTTGGCCGCCTCCAGAGGTTCCCAATTTGATTCATTCAATGTGATATCTCATTGGCTGAAGGCACTGCTTACTGCAAAAACTGTGGCTACTCATAACATTGTGCGCTGATGACTTGTGCTCCAAACTTGCCACGTCCCTGGTCAAGCTGTTCTGGTACAACTACAACACTGGCATCTACCCAGCAATGTGGAAAATTGCCCAGGTACATCCTGTCCACAAAAAGCAGACAAATCCAACCTGGCCACATACTACCCGATCAGACTATTCTTGATCATCAGCAGATTAATGGAATTGATCATTGGCAGTGCTATCAAGTGGCTCTGACTCAAGAATAACGTGCTCACTGATGCTTAGTTCAGATTCCTAGGGCCATCCAGCTCCTGACCTCATTACAGCCTTGGTCTAAACATGGACAAACGAGTTGAATTCCAGAGGTGAGGTGAGAGTGACTGCCCTTGACATCAAGGCTGCATTCAACAGAATGTGCCATCAAGAAGTCAAGCAAAACTAGTCAGTGAGAATTTAAGGGAAATTCTTTGCTAGAGTCATTCCTAGTACAAAATAAGATGGCAATGTTTGTTGGTGATCAGTCATTTAAATCCCAAGACATTTCTATAGAAGTTTCTCAGGGTAGTGTCCAAGGCCCAATCCTCTTCAGCTGCTTCATCAATGACCTTCCCTCCATCATAAGATCAAAATTCCCAATGTTCACTGATGATTGAACAATGTTTAGCACTATTCACAACTCCTCAGACACTGAAGCAGTCAATGTTTAAATGCAAAACCTGGATTAAATCCAACTGATAAGTGGCAAATACCATTTGCACCACACAAGAGCCAGGCAATGACCATCTCCAATAAAAGAAAATCCATTGACCCTTGACATTCAATGACATTTTAATTGCTGAATCCTTCACAAATGCATCCTTGAATGACCAGTTACCAGAAATTGAACTGGACTAGCCATGCAAACAATGGATACACAAATAGGTCTGAGGCTGGAAATCTTGCAGCAAGCATCTCACCTCCTGACTCTCCAAAGCCTGTCCACCATTTACAAGGTATAAGTCAGATGTGTGATGGAATAGTCCCCATTTGCTTGGAAGAGTGAAGCTCCAACAACACTCAAGGAGCTTGACACCACCCAGAAGAAAGCAACTTGCTTTATTAGCAGCCCATCAATCACCTTTCAGCATTCACTCATTTCACCACCGACGCACAGTAGCAGCATTGTGTACCATCTCAAGATGCAGCAACTCATCTGGGCTCCTTTGACAGCACCTCCCAAACTCTCAACACCTAACACTTAGGAGGACAGGGAAAACCAATACATGGAAGCATCACAACCTGCAAATTCCCCTCCAAGCCACTCACCATCCTGACTTGGAAATATATCGCCGTTCCTTCCATGTTGCTGGTCAAAATCCTAGAATTCCCTCCCTACTCATATTGTGGATTTATCTCAGCACATGGACTGTATCATTTTAAGAAGGCAGCACAGTATGCCTTCTCAAGGGTAATTAAGGGTGGGTAATAAATGCTGGCCCAGCCAGCATTGCTCTCACCCATGAACAAATAAAAAGTCTACTTCATAAGATTATATAGAAAATGCAGTAGGCCATTCATCTGAACTGCCTGTGCTGGTGTTAAATATTCCAGACGTGTGTTCTCCCATTCAATCTCCTACAACTCACCCTATCTCTCTATTCCCTTTTCTCCCATCAGTGCTTGTCTCATTTCTATTGGGACATTTTCCTCTTGACCTTTCTTGAAACTGAATTCCTTTGTGGGTTTACAAACAAGGATTACCCCTTTCACCCAGACTTTCCAGAAACCTTTAAAGTATCTTCAGTTTATGATTCAGTTCCACTTGGAGAGAGCATGGCTGTGGGTACTTTGTGTCAAGTTCTTGATGCGTACATTATCACAAATCAAATCAGCCCAGTGTTAATTCTGCTTATCATGCTGGTGCCCACCTATACACTCTCTCCCTGAATACTCTTAAACTCCTAGGTGTAGGTGTAGAGTGGCATGATGGCACAATGGTTAGCACTGCTGCCTCACAACACGAGAGACCTGGCTTTGATTCCAGCCTTGGGTGACTCTCTATGTGCATGTTCTTCCTGTTTCTGCAATGTGCTCTGGTCTTCTCCCACAGATCAAAGATGTGCAAGTTAAATAGATTGACCATGTTAAAGTGCCTATAATGTCCAAGAATGCATAGGCATGGTAAATGTGGAGCTTCGGTGATAGGTTAGGGACCTGGATAAGATGCTCTTCGGAGTGTTGGTGGAATGGCCTCTCTTTGCAGTGTAGGGATTCTATGACCAATCCCCCCCCATCAATAAACAAGCTGTTCACAAATATCTCAACATTGCAAGTGTGCTGCATTGACACCAGCTGTTGTTCAAGCTCCAAATCCTAGAGCTCAAGCTGCAACAACTGAGGACACTTCATGCCTAGGTGGTTATTTAGGACATGGGAAGCATTCTGGGAATCTCACGTAGCACAATCTATGCACTATGCTCTGCCATTCCTCTATCTATCGGATATTAATGACTGCTACTACTATAAACTGTAACACTTAAACAAAAATACATGAGTTCCTCTTTTCTATTCTGTTGATGTAACTTAAATATTGGGAAGTTAGCTAAATGGTTTACTTCCCCTTATTTAAAAAAAAAGTTTAAATTTCCAGCTCCTTATGCTAACTGCTTCATGTTGAAGAAAGGGAAGCTCACCAATACTCACCAGTCAATCAACTCACTGACTTCCTACACTTTTCAGCCTCCTTTTAATTTGTCAGTTCTAAAGGTGGGAGTAATCTGTTCACCTCTTTGAAAAAATTGTCAAGTTCCAGCCCTGACAATCTCGTATTGAGCTTTTAACCAGAGTTAGCTGACCTCATTGGGACAACAGGATTGTTATTCCACCAACCCCCTATCCAGTCATTACTACCAGCAGAAGGATAGCCTTGAAATTGACACATGGACTGGCCATGGTGTTTTCAGTGCCCCAGATCTCACTCACAATGTTATAGGGCACTGGAAATACAGTCCATAATGCCTGCTCTTTGATTCACAGTTGGACCATGTGAGAAATTCCCATTTCCCATCTTGCACCCTCTATAAATTGAAATTCATCAAAATTCATGTTGCCCTGTATCCTAACTTGTATCTAGTGCTATTCACCCATTACCTTCTGTTCTCACTGATCCATGTTGGCTCCTAGTCCAGCAATAGCTTCATTTTAAAACTCTTATGTTTTCAAAGCCCTCCGTAGCTTCCCTACCTCCCTCCCTATCTCTGCAATCTCCTCCAGCCCACAAAAACCTCAGATTTCTGCTCTCCTCCATTCTGTTTCCTTTTTTGCCTCCAATTCTGAATTACTCCACCATTGGAGGTTGTACATTGAAATTCCTAGACCTGAAACTCTAGGATTCCCACTCTAAGCCTCTCCTCTCTCGTTTTTTTCTCTTTATTCATTCAGGGAATGAGGGCATCACTGGTTAGGCCAGCATTTATTGCCCATCCCTAAATGCCCAGAGACAGTTAAGATTCAACCACATTGCTGTGGGTCTGGAGTCACATATAGGCCAGACCAGGTAAGGATGGCAGTTTCCAAAATGTTTGTTAACCTCTCCTGGTCTGTTCCTATATGTGACTCTGTTCGATTTTGCTTAATGATATTTGTTGTGAAACACCTAGAGACATTTTCTTCTGTTGAGGATGTTATTTAAATAACTATCTTCCACAACAAATCCTGTTGGAGGGTCCATCATGCTCCACATTCCATCAGTTAGCTTACGGATGCTCCTGTCTTGTGTTGGGAAGGAGAAGGGGAGTAACTGTAGGAAGGCACTTTGATCCTGGGATAGTGAGGGGATGGAGGGTTGGAGTGGAAGTAGGAGTGTGAAAAATAATTGGTCAGAGTTAACTTTCTTTGCTCTCATCATCCCACTGCCTCTCACTCTACGTTACTCTGGCACTTACAGCAACAAAGGAGAGACCGAGAGCACCGGAAACAGCAGGAGAGGGAGCAGAGGAGAAGATATGAGGAGATGGAGAGGCTCCAGCGAGAAGAGGAGAGACGCCTAGCCGAACGGGAGCAGGTAAGCACAGTGCCTTTAGGTAGATGGTTTTAAAACATGTTGTTCAAGGCAGGATGTAGGGTCTTGGGGAGTGTAATGCTCTGTAACAGAACTTATATCTTGGTGTCTCCTCTGAGTTTTCTTTGCACCATATCCCCATTCTCCAACTCTTAGACCTTTCACAATCCTATAGTCCCTATGGCAGCCGTTGTTGCCCAGTGCATGCTGAACCAACTCTGAGGTCCAACACCAGACAGTTCTATATTGTATTTTTTGAAACCTTTTCTTGTTGGACACAGAGAAAACGTTATAGCGGGAGAAATGGGTGGGGAATCAATGTAATGATTCTGCCCTACTCCCACCCAAATAACTCAGCTGATAGGCTAAGGACTTAGAAAGACTTTAACAGTCAGTATTTTTAACACATCACTCAGAGGTCCAATATCATAAGCTTGTTTCTTAATTTGTTCTGAATTATGGGCATCACTGGCAAGGCTGGCATCAATTGCCCATCCCTAGGTACACCTTGAAATGGTGATAGTAGCATCACCAGTGGATTATGCTTCAGAGGGCACTAAGAGTTGACAAGTTGGTGTACAACTGGAGTGGCATATGGGACAGAATCAGTTGGGCCTTTACAGTAATCCACTAGCTTCGTTGTCACTTTTACCAAAACTGTTTTCTTAAAATATGATTTAAAACTGGATTTAAATTGTTAAACTGCTCTGACGGGATTTGAACTTGCATTCCCAGGAATATAAGTACAATAAGTTGACCACTCTATCACAGTGACCTCCAGGCTTATTTGCATTTTCTCAATGTTGTCACAATACAGCGCCCTCAGTTTCCACAGTGGTACTGGCTAGAAGTGCAGCTAGGCAATGCTTTCAGCCTTGGATAAAAGACTGAGGTGGAACCCACCCGGAGATTTCCTACAACAACAATTTCAATTCCTCCAGCCCCATTTCCCTGCTCCCCTGCTGAAAGTGCTATGAGGGAAGAAGAATCTGGGTTTCAGACATGTTATGGGAACAAGAGTTCATTCAGCCTCTCAAATTCTGTCACATTTACTTAGCTCACAACGGTTTTTGCAGTTAACTCCATTTACCTGGGTTTGGAACAGAATCTTCGATATGCTTACCCAACAAAAATCTAATCAATATCGGTCTTGAAATTGATCTGCAGATCCCTTAGCTTTTTATCTTGGACAAGAAAGCTGCAGATTTGCTCTGTCACTTGTGTGAGCAAACTCTTCCTGACAACACCCCTGGAAGAAGTATGGGGAAAGAGAAAGTTTCTTTGGATGTAATCATCTTAAACACCTCCATTAAATCACCTCTTCATCTTTTACACATTAGCGAATATAAGTTTACAACCAGAGGTGGTCAAATCATGAGGATACTGAACAGAGTGGATAGTGAAACTCTGTTCCCATAGAGTCATACAACATTGAAAGTAACCCTTTGGATCAACTAGTTCTCGCAGACCATGTTGTCAAACGAAACTTGCCTGCATTTGGCCTATATCCCTCCTAACGTTTCCTATTCATGTACTTATCCAAATGCCTTTTAAATGTGGTAACTGTACCCGCATCCACCACTTACTCTGGCAGTTCATTCCACACACGAACCACTCTCTGTGTAAAACGTTGTCCCTTGTGTCCTTTTTAAATTTTTCTCCCATCACCTTAAAAATATATCCCCTAGTTTTGAACTCCCCCACCCTAAGGAAATAAAATCCTTGCTATTCACCTTATCTATGCCCTTGATTATTTTATAAATCTCTAGAAGATCACCCCTCAACCTCCTACAGTCCAGTGGAAAAAGTCCCAGTCTATCCAGTCTCTCCTGTGATTATGGATGTTACAAATACCTCTGCTAGGGGCCCTGCAATTTCTTTCCTAACTTTCCACAACATCCTGGAATACACTTGTTCAGGTTCGAAATCAAGAAGCAGAAGCACTGATTTAAGGTGACTGGTAAAGAAACCAAAGGCGTTATCAGGAAACAAGCAGTGAGTAGTTGGGCTCAGGAATGTGTTGCCGAAGGAGGAAGGATTTAAAAAGAGGACCAAAGGAAAGGAATTATAGGCCTATCGCAAGGAATTGACACTAGCTGAGATGCTCTTGCAGAGATCTGGCACAGAGATGACGGGCTGAATGACCTCTTTCTGTGCTGCAACTGTTCTGTGATTCACAGTTTAACCATTTTGGCTCTGACATCATTCTGTGCCTTTGAATCCGTGTCTTGGCCCCTCCAAGGCTGGCGTCTCCTTGTTGTAGAGAGGTGTCCAGAACTGAACACATTGACTCCAGATCAGGCCTTTTTGTGAAAAGAGGAATCAGTCCAGAAATTGTAGGAGAAATATTTATTTGTCTAAAAAAAAAATGAACACCACTTTCCTGTTCAGAAAAGATGTAATTTTCATGCCTTTCCCACTCATGCCTCCTATGGAGATTTGAAGATTGAGGGTGGGTATTAGTGGGAGTGACTGAGCTGTGCAGCTCTCAAGGACTGGGAACTGGATTTGCTCTGACAGCTTGTACAAAGGAATGAGTCATTGAGACTCAAGGCCCAGTGAGATATTGCACAGAGTTACTCAATAACTGACACACTTGATTGTATCCTGAGGTGAGGGCATTGTCTTATGAGGAAAGATTGAGTAGACTGGGGCTATATTCCCTGAAGTTCTAAGAATGAAAGGTCATGTATAATGTATAATATTGTATAATATTCTTCAAGGGTTTGACAGGGTAGCTGCTGAAAGGCTGTTTTTCCTCGGGTTATACAGTTAAAACACAAGGACATAGCTTCACGATAAAGGAGGTCAGCCATTTTGGACAAGGTTGACATGAAATTTTGACATGCACTGGGCTGAGAATCTTTAAAATTCTCTGTCCCAGATTCAGTCTTTTTGATTTTGATCAAGACTGATATTTATACATTTTTGGACACTAAATAAATGATGGAATACAGGGATAGTGAATGTAGGTTTGAGGTAGAAAATTAGCCGTCATCATATTGAATGGCAGCGCAGGCTTGGGGAACTAAAATGTTTACTTCTGCTCCTATTTGTAACATTTTTAGGATTTCATGGGTCTGGGGTACTATTATTAAGAGGTCCTCCTTTATTCTTTCATGGGATGTGAGTGTCACTGGTGAAGCCAACATTTGTTGCTCACCTTTTAATCTCTCTTGAATTGAGTGGCTTGCTAGGGCCATTTCAGAGGCCATTTAGGAGTCAGCCACATTGCTGTGGGTCTGGAGTCACATGTAGGCCAGACCAGGTGAGGGTGGTAGATTTCTTTCCCTGAAGGACATTAGTGAACCAGATAGGATCTGGCGACAACTGATGTGGTTTCATGGTCATCAGTTTTGCATTCCAGATTTATTAATTGAATTTGAATTCCACCAGTTGTTGTGGTGTGATTTGAACCTGTATTTCCAAAGAATTAACCTAAGCCTCTAGATTTACTTGACGTTAGCGACATTAACACTATGCCACTAGCTCTCTGCATTGTCACATGACCTTCCGTCTCTATGACCCCAATTTCTGTCACCTTCTGAGATTTCCATCTGTAGTATACCCTTGCCCTCCCAAAATCTATTAACAGAAAACTGTTCACAGGTTAAGCAAAATCAAAGACATTGTACTGTGCAGCCCCTATCCTCCTGTCCTATTGTGTGTCCAATAATCTTCGTCCCATTCACGATAGACCTGAAACAGTAAGCCCCAAAATGCCACATAACAGAGTCAAGAGAAAACAATCAAGCAGAACATTCATCCCACCCTCACATCTCCATTTTGGAACAGCCAATGATGGATGACGTACTCCTGTGGCCTTCACAATAAAGACACAATTGCTAGCCCCCACCCCAACATGCCGACTTTACCATTGTCCTCTCAGCACATCCATCCTGTGCCTTCTCTCAGCCAAACCTCTTATGCGTTTAGATTATTCTTACTTAACCGATCAAACTGCTTTTATAGTTATTTTAAGCTGCAGATCAAAACCATTCAGCACATTAATTGCAAGCTGGTTTTCTATGGATCCAGTCAGTCCCATTCCCCTTCTTTATCCCTGTAGTCTCAAGTGTATGTCCAGTTTCCTTGTGAAGTCATTGATCATCTCCGTTTACCTCACCCTTGTGGGCAGGGAGTTCCAACCCATTAGCACTCACTACGTAAAAATGTTCTTCCTCACATCACCTCAGCATCGTTCGCCCAAAACTGGCAGTCTGCGTTTTCTAGTTCTTCAGAATGCCTTTTTTTTTTGCTTTATCTAAACCTGTCATAATTTGCTTTTACAACTAAGGAACAAAGGTGTTCACAAAAAAATATAATTTTTAAATATTTAATTCCTGGAGACTCCGAGAGGTTGGGACCCCTTATTAACATTTTTGTCTGGTAGGGATGAAGGGACTGGCCTGTTACACACACTGTCCAGTCACTCTCCTCAACTTAAACCCATCTGGTTCACTAATGTCCTTTAGGGAAGGAAACTGCCATCCTTACCTGGTCTGGCCTACATGTGACTCCAGACCCACAAGAATGTGGTTGACTCTTTAACTGCCTTCTGGGAAATTAGGGATGGGCAATAAATGCTGGCCTAGCTAGAGATGCCTATGTCCCATGAATGAATAAAAAAGATTTTTGGCAGACTTAGCAAAGCAGATGTGGAAACATTGTTATCCCCGTTGTAAAATCTAGGAGTAGAGGGCATAATATCAGAATAAGGGATTGTCTGTTAAAGACAAAGATGAGAAGGAATTTCTTTTCTCAGAGCGTGGTGAATGTGTGGAATTCTTTACCACAGGGGGCTGTTGAGGTTGGATCATTATGTATATTCAAGGCTGAGATAGATTTTTAATCAGTAAAAGAATCAAGGGTTATCGGGCAAAGGCAGGAAAGTAGAGTTGAGGATTATCAGATCTCATTGAATGGCAGAACAGATCCGATGGGCTGAATGGCTTACTTTTGTTCCCACAATTTTGGTCTACGATCAGTCCCATTACCACACACCACTTGCTCGAAGTTGGAAAAATCTGATCCAAGTTGAGGTCTGGGGAATTGATAGACGTTCTTTCCCACACCACAGGCAGGAAGTGTTAAGAGCACGTGTGTGGGAATGCCAGTGCACAAAGTGAGGGAGTTACTAATGTTCCACTACAGTTATCTCCTCTTGTTAAAGTACATCATCTAAAAGAAAAACACAATGATGCTTCAAAGGCTTTTAAATTGAGCATTGCTGGCTCAGAAACCAATCTGGTTTTCTTTTATTCTTTCACTGGATGTGGGTGTTGCTAGCTGAGCCAGCATTTATCACCCATCGCTAGTTGCCCTTCAGAAGGTGGTGGTGAGCTGCCTTCTTGAACCACTGCAGTCCATTCGCAGTAGATAGACCTACAATGCCCTTAAGGAAGGAATTACAAGATTTTGACCAAGCAACACTGAAGGAACAGCAATACATTTCCAAGTCAGGATGGTGAGTGGCTTGGAGGGAACTTGCAGGTGGTGGTGTTCCAATATGAGGAGAAACCAGTAAAACTGATGAGTGAAACATACTGGTCCATATTGGTATACTCAAAATGGAGGTACAATATGATCAATGCATTCATTTCCAATTATCTGTGGGTTATTTCCTCTGATAGTCTGCTGCCCCTGTCTTTCTGGGGTTCTGGGTTTGGAAGGTTATGCTTGAGGAGTTTGAATAAGTTAAAATAATTGCAAAGCTTACAGGTTTTGGGCTTTTTGTTGCTATGAAGCTGCATTAGCTGTAGGGCTATAGTGAAGTGTTTCAAATAATCAAGGGGAGGAAGTTGGGTGAATGCATGGGGTGGCTTCTTACAAAGCTAAGAGCTGATGAACCAAATGGATGACTATTTGTCACTGTTCTTGATTGTAATCCAAAAGATTTCAGTACAAGACCTCTGACTCCCATCATCACCACCATGCCCCCAACATCACTGTCCCGTCACAGTTCCCGGCATTGGATACTTGGCATGTCCATCTTCATGACATGTTGTATCACAACCGTGGAAATGACTATGGAAATGAACAGCCTCTTCAGGACTTTGTTGGATAATTCTTGATTGTCAGAATTTTTTTCCTGCCTGACTCCTAAACCAATCAACAAAAATATTATTAAAAATGAGAAATGAAAACTTGCAAATCTTTTCAAAGTTCCCTACAATTTTACTTAATTCTGAGTTGCTCAAGGCTGCATCCGAGAGACTAACCAGCAGTTTCTCAAGGATTGGCAACTCAAGCTGCGCTGCACATCAGCAGCATGTTTGTACCTAGGGTCAATGACAATGTTTGTTTGGATTTGGATTTGAATTTGAATCTTGTCCCAGCCCCAGCTCCTTCTGCCTCCTAAATCTCCTTCAATCCGAAAATAATCTGCCATAGCTCAGTTCGTTCTCTCCGGGGTCACATTTCCCAAACTACCCTAAGCCATCACTGCTCTCACACACATTTTTCTGGACTTTATTTAATGCCCTTCAGTACAGTCTGTCCTGAAATCTCTTTTTACAATAATGGACCATGCAAGAGAAGTTGGGCCAGGTTGTAAAATTCTGCATTCAATCCGATTGAAAGGACTTACTGGAGTTATACTTGGGAAGAATTTCTTGGCTTAATTTCTGCGCATAATGTCTGTTGTTCTTTATTCTTTAAAACTTGCCAAAAAAAATCCTGTTTATAAAAAAGAACTGTTGCACTTTGAAGGGACGACTGAAAGCTGAGTCAGATTGAACTGAACGTGGCCACAAACTCAAAATAGCGCTCTGTAATGAAACTGTTGATGCTAGTTAATTTCAGAAGCTAATGACAACACTAAATTCATTCCCTGTGAGAAGCAAAGTGGTTGAAACACATTCATATACAGAGCTCGCTATCCCATGACTTTTGTTATCCTTTGGAATTGATTGGAGCTCAAACCCCAACTTCAGTAATGTTTTTAGTTTCCATTATGGAGGTTACTGAAGTATCCAATGCAGAAAAAAGTAACTTCCTGATCAGTGTGGCCCAGTGTGGGATGGTTGAGTTGACTATTCCAAATACATCTCATACAGGCCAGCTGTGGAAAACACAAGCTGTTGCTAGGAGCAGACACCCAGCCACACATTCTCAGAAGTCAGTCTAATCTTAAAACCCAGACGTCCAGCAGAACCCACCGATCGGAAGACTGGTAGAATTTGCAGACCTAATTCTGTGGCTGTGTTGGGTGTCCCTTTTGTTTTGGCCCGTGAGATCCAACATTTATTTATGAAAAGCTGCCTTCTTGGAGATAGCTGAGTGGCTTGTGAGGCCATTTCAGAGTTAACCTCATGTGAATCTGGAGTTACATGTAGGCCAGGCCTAGTAAGGGTGGCAGATTTCCTTCATTGCAATTTTTCACAATCAGATGGCCTTTTAGTCGTGATCTAACTACTTGCGTGGTTACCCATTGCTGATAGTAACTTGGGATTCCACAATTATTTATTTGATTGCATGTAAGTTCCCAGGTGTGATGGTGAGATTTGAACTCATGACTCTGGATTATTAGGTCAGGCCTCTGGATTGTAAGTCCAGAAACAGAACTACCATATGTCTCAGTTCAGTTTGGTTCAAGCTTCTTGAATCTCGGGCATTCCTGTCTCCTTCTCCTCCTTTTCTGAAATCGTTCCTGTTTTCTCTTTTTCTCTCTCCTTTCCTCTCTGTCTCCGAATCTCTCTCCCTGATGTCTGCAGGAGTACATAAGGCGGCAGTTAGAGGAAGAACAGAGGCAGTTAGAGATCTTGCAACAACAACTTCTGCAGGAGCAGGCTCTCCTACTGGTAATGCACCAATATTATTTACCTGGAACCAAAGCTCACCTAGCTCCTTGTTCACAATCCCACCTCCAATCTCCTCCCTTGTTCTCTCATTGTGCCATTATATATTTGCCTAAGACAGACTTTAAGAATCTATGGTGATCCATCATAAGCTCAACTAGCTTCCTTTATGAATTTTATAAAAGAGCAGGAATGAAATGTTGAACTGTAATTCTATTAGATCATTCCAAGTAACTGTGTTGCGTTGTTTCAAAATTTCTTGCAATTTTAATATGACTGCTGTCTCATCCTCTTCCTTTTTCCCTCCCTCTCTCCCCTATCCTCCCTATCCTCTGTCTCTAATTCCATTGCTGTACCTGTCCTGCGAGTTTTTGATGGGACAATATCAAGAGGGCTTTAGTTTCATTTTAAAAAAGTAGAGGGAGCTTTACATTGTGTCTGATTCCATGCTGAACCTGTCTTTGAAGTGTTGTATGGGGACAATGTAGATAAAGCTTAACTCTGTATCTAAACCCCATGCTGTTCCTTATTTGGGAATGTTTGATGTGGACAGTGTAGACACTGCTTTACTTTCAGTTTAAAAGAGTAGAGGGAGTTTTACTCTGTATCTAACCCTGTGCTATACCTGTCCGAGGAGAGTTTGATGTGGATAGTTTAGACAATGGAGAATTCTTTGGATTTGCTTTTGTCTTTTATTCTGCCAGAACATTATAATTTGAAAATGTAATTATTAATTTGCAACAGCTGATAATCAATATACTGAGAAACTCATCAGCCATTAAAATAGGTGTGGACAGTGTTAACACATTTACTGAACTGTATGGCTTGCCACTGATTTGAGAGTTTATTCTGGTCAAATATAAAAACTTGCACTCTCTGATCCTCTACTTCATGTCAGGGGGAGGGATTAATAAATATTAAGTCTTAATTCCTTTTAGATTTTATAATCAGGATTGTCCTTTTCCACACTGGCTTCCACCTGCAACCCTCAGCTACATTGACATCTCCTCATTTGGCCTCCAAAACCCCACCACACATCAGTCAGTGCACATCCTGACCCTGCATCCTAGCCTGGTTGCTTACATCTTGCCTTTACTTCCCATTATCTCCACTCTCCCAGTGCATTCAGAACTCAAAATCATTATCCTCCTTTACAACAGCAGTTAAAGGAAGCAACTCACCACCAACATTTCGAGGGCAATTAGGGATGGCCATATCAGAAGCAGGAATATATATTAAATCAAGCGGTCTCCTCTCCCTCTGCTCTAATCAGCTCCGTCCAATGCACAATGCTCTGATTGTTATAGGCTTACCTCATGCCCCACTCCCCAACTTTTGATTAACTGTAGAACCATCTCTGTCTTGAACCTCAACTCTGGAAATCTTCCTTAAGCTTGTTCTGTATTTACACCTAAGACCTCCTCTAAACCAGCTTCTTTAACTGAGGTAGCTTGAGCCAATTTGCTTTATGGTAGCTGCTTCCTCACTGCAAGCCAAGAAAACACTCCCAGCATGTAGGACAAACCCATCTATCATTTGTGACTGGATGGTCAGGGTATCATTCATGATCCAGAACTCTTATCCTATTATTCCCTGCAGGGCTTGAGACTGTTCTCCATAATACTTTAAACTCCAGTTGAGAGATATGTGTTTATTGCAACTTTTATTGACTTTAATGAACTTTTATTCCATTATCTTGCATTGTTTCAAGTTAATGAACTTCCTGTGAAATTTCAACTGACTATTTAAGATGCTAGTTTGCAAAAGAAATTGGAAAAAATGGAAATTATAATTAATTTCATATGAAAGTGGTGGCCCTAAATCTGTTTGTACCTGTATTTGTTGGTAATGACGGATGTGATCTGGGCTTGAATGTAGTTCCAAATAGATTGGATGAAATTCTCACACCGAGTGGAATAATTAGTAACCTCAATCGTTGTGGGATTAGTCATTCCACCAATTGTCACTAACAAACACGGTGAAGGTTTTATACGCTCTCTTCTGTTTGGTCTACGACTGAAAGGAGTACAAGCGAAAGCAGCTGGAAGAACAGCGTCAGGCAGAACGACTACAACGACAGTTGCAACAGGAACGGGCTTATCTGGTGTCTCTCCAGCAGCAGCAACAGCTGGAGCCAAGATCTGGTGAGAAGAAGGGACTTTATCACTACAAGGACAGTATGAACCCAACAGAGAAGCCAGCCTGGGCCAAAGAGGTACGCAACCCAACTGATATCTCTAGGATTGATTGCACTATTGTTTTGTGTGTGCACTGCCATTGAGTAGAATGGGATTGGTGTTGATGAGGTTGTCAAACTGTGGGCCAATAGGTTCCTTTCATTTCCTTAGCTGCTGGGTCTTGTGAAGAGACTTCACTCAGTGATGGTTGCTGAATATAAAAGATACAATCCAACATCCCATGCTGCATTAAACCAGGAGGGACTAGACTGTTTTACACAGTGTGATGATCTTTGAATATACTTTTGGGGAACTTAGTCATCATTGACTGTCTTCTCTGAAATTTTCAGAACTTGAAAGCATTTCCCCTATGATTCCTCACTTGCAACATCTGTCTTTCTCTCACTCGCTTTCTCTCGCTCTTGTTTTCTCTAGCTCTTGTTTTCTCTCTCTCAACTTTTCTCTTGCTTTCTCCCTCTTGCTCTCTCTTTTGCTTTCCCTCTCTTTCTTTCACCCTGTCTCACTTCCTTGCTTTCTCTCTCTTGTTTTCACTTTCTCTGTTTGTCTATCTCTCCTTCCTCTCTTTCACCTTGTTGCCTCCTCCCCTCCTCCTGCATTCTTCCTCCTCTCCACTTCCTCACTCCAGGTCTCTTTCTCCTCCTTCCTTCCTCCACATCTTATATGTCCCTTGATTCTTCCACCCTCCCTGTCTTCCCCAACTCCCCTCTCTCTCTTTTCCTTACCCACCATTACGTTTTTGCAGACATGTGTACACACAACCAACAGAGGACCTCCGAGGCCTGTGGTAGCCCTACTCACTAGGCTGAGGTGGAATCTGTGTCTACTCCACACCTGCAGCTCAAGAATTGAAACCTCCTGCAGTTTATTCAGTGGGTCCCTCGGTCATTCCATCTGGGCTGTGCTAGTTGATGCCACCCAGCAAGGTGTTTGAGAACTCAAACTGTGCTGAACACCTTAGGTTTGGAGCAAAGAATTTAACCCAAGATTCTGCCTCCAATCTTCTTTGCTGGATTGACAAGGATATCCACATATTTAAATAGCCCACAAACACCATCAGGAAAAGATGGAAGGTGAGAAAGAAAGGAAAATGTCCTCCAAATATTTTGATTTGAGAAAGTCACAATGTCTTTGCAATTGGCTGAATGTTCTAGAGAGTTACCAGAATTCCTGTCCCCTGGGGATTCAACGTAAACCAATTCAATATAATCCTGAAGATCACATGACCTCCAACTGCAACCCCCACCCCCCCCTTCACCTTTCCATCATTGGTCACCTCACATGTCAGTCTTCTGCCTGCCTACACCAATCAGAAAGCAAAAAAGACTCTTCCTTACCCTTGTGGATAATTTTGACTGTTGGAACAAAGGGGGCATTTTCTCGGTCTCCAATATTCAGAGTTCAGAGAGGCTTTTTGTCCCCAAGACATTTAATGTTTCATATTTTTAACACCCATTTACTCCAGCAATTAGTCTTCAATTTCTGGAACCTCAGCATTGTCCTGGAGTGTTTGACATCTTTACCGGGAGTGGGGGAGGGGAATGTTATGTCTTCAATGAGTGAATCGACTAACTTGAATGTAGACTTTGCCTAACCAGGAAGGATGGGGAATTTCAGTCAGAAACAGCTGGATGGTCACCTGGAGTTGAGGTATAGAGCAGCCATGATCTGATGGAATGGTAGAACAGATTGGAGGGACTGAATGACCCAGTATCCTTAATGTTTTTTTTAAACATATTCCAACATGCAGCCTCTGTGAGCACTTGCTCTGACTGCACTGTAACGTAGGCAAGTTTCTGACTGCTCCAGTACCACTCCCACTGGCCACCAGCATTTGAACCAGCCAGTACGGTTGAATGTGAGCGTTTCAAGACAGAGGTTGATTTTTGTTGGGAAAGGGTACTGAGGATTATGAAATCAAGACTAATAAATGCAGTTGAGATACAGATCAGTCACATTCCAAATACATCGTGGAATCAGGTTCGATGGTTCTATGGCCTCCTGTTGCTCCGATGCTAGGAGACATGTATTTGTTATTCACCATACAAGCCATCTAGTTTATTGGTGTCAGCTCTGTTTGGCCAACATGAAACATGTGGGTGCTCATTAAAATGTCACTCTGGTTTTTATCCCAGGTAGGTGCGAGCTTACTGTTCTTTTTGAACAAATAATTCTGTCATCCAAACCCCAGGTACAGAAGCGATCGCTCAGTAATTCTCCTCGACGCCCACCCAAAGATGGAGTGCCTGCCACTAAGTGGCCATCGTTCAGTGACATCACCAATCAGCAGCCCGCTCACGATTTGTCCTGGCATGTCCGTTCGGGCCAACACCTTGTGGTTCCCAGTGTTCTCGCCTCTCCTCTGATCAACAGAAAAGGCTCACGCCAAGTCCTGACCGCACCAGACTCTGATCATACAGGGCCAGCAGGAACGTCCCCTCTCCAGGCCCAAGCAAAGACTGAGAAGAAGTCACACACCTGCAAGGAGGACCAGGCCAGGGAGGCACGACCACGGCTACGGTCACAGACCAAGCAATTACAGTCACAGGAGGTGACCTTTGAGTTTGGACCCAATGGCGTGGTGAAGAAGCATGTAAAGGCCACCTCTGCAAACCCACGAGGGCATTCAGATGAATACATCTTTACAATTGGTTATGGCGGAGTAATTAGGAAAAAGAAGAGGAAGTCAGTAGATAAAACTGCAAGGCCCCTAGATTGCAGATTCACCATAAAACCTGGTGGGGTGGTAGAGAAAGTTCCAAATACTCCCAAGATAAGAATGGATCCTGTTAATGATAGACATATTTCTGAAGAAGGAACATTCCATGAAACAGAGAGCCTGCCCATACCAATTCCTCACCATCGTTCTCTCTCCTCAATGTCTCCTTGTTGCTTGTCTCCAGATTGTCCTGAGGCCTTTTTGTCTTGTTCTTCCCCAGCCTCTTTCTTGTCAGCTCTTTCAAAATTTCCACCACAGAATTCGGATACTCTGATAGTCCCTCAGCCCAGCTATATGCTCTCTTTGAAAAAGATGGCCAGCGCCCCAAATCTTGCTGATCCCCACCCATCTTCTGTTCTCCCTTCTGCTTTCCCTAACTGCCCATGCTCTGGCTCTGCCGAGTTTCACACCAGTCACAGCATCCCTTTTGGGTTTCCCACACCCCTCCGCCGCATGGAACACAATGCTTCCTCAGGAACCCTGTTCAGCTCTCTTGGCCACTTGCCAGGGGGTCCCCGTTCCCACAGCTGTCACACCCATTACAGTACACTCATGGGTTCTCCTACACAGTCTTCCTCAGAGGAATTGCCACCCACTTCCCCACATAGTACTCCCCAGAAGCAGATAAAATCAGAAAACTCAACTCAGTCTTCAGAAACCGAAGACCTCACAATCAAATTGTGCCACAATCCGGTATTGAGATTGGAAATTGATCCAGACAGTTATCAAAGTAACCTTAGCCTCCAATCAGCAGACAGCCCAATACATGAAAATTGGTGTTCCTCCCCTCAATCTAAAGAAACCAACCCAGATTTCCCTCTATCTTTGTCATACCCTGAGAGTAGTCTCAGGCAAATGCTGCTTACCAGATTTCCCAAATGGAGCAGATCAGCTTCTGACAGCAGTGCATTGAAAGTTCTACTTCAGTGCCACCAAAGGTCTCACATTGCTGGACAAAGGAGTAGTCCGCATTCCCTCAGTCCACATGCACTTTCACTGTCCAGTTCACCAAAATAATGTGCCTTATTGTCTATGCACTAATCTCCATGAGGGCCTCCTGAGTGGTTTCGTTGCAGTTCTCTTGATAATCACTCTTTTCCAGAGTAAAATAAAACAAAGACAGCAGATATTGGAAATCAGAAGCAAAAACAAACTCCTGGAAAAACTCAGCAGGTCTGGCAACATCTGTTTTGGGTCCAGTGACCCTTCTTCAGAAGTGAAGAACTAAAGTTCTGAAAAAGAGTCGCTGGACCTGAAACATTAACCCTGCTTTCTCTGCACAGGTGCTGCCAGACCTGCCGAGTTTTTCCAGCAATTTCTGTTTTTGTTTCACTCTTTTCCAGGCCTACACTCTCCTGAGCACCAGTTCAATTGCTTGGGGAGCTTAGCTTGAATTGGAGCCTGCCCCAGCTCAGTTCGCTGAATGGCTGGTTTGAACTGTACAGGGACTCCAACAGCATAGGTTCAATTCCCATACTGCCTAAGGTCACAATGGTGGTCCCTCCTTCTCAAACCTTACCCTTTGCCTGAGGTATGGTGACCTTCAGGTTAAACTCATCTTCAGTCACCTCTGTCTAATGAGAGAGCAGTCTATGGCCCTCTAGTAATGTGGTGACTTTTACTTTATATTCTGACCATCGTAATCTCCTCAAAACTCTATTTAGTTCATGCAACAGTTTAACTGTGGGATATGTGTTCTTGGAATTTGCGTTAGCCATCTTTGTCAAGACTTTTGTCAATCTAGATCCAAGTCATTCAGTGAAACATCAAACCAAGACCTCTTTCTTTGTGGATAGAGTTTATTAGCCACTCAATCTTAGATATTTTTCCTAATTGGCCTGCTCAGGGATGTTAATACATATCTCTAGAGCATGTGAGACTTGAACCCAGACCTTCTGGCTCAGAGATATGGATATGATCGCTGCTGCATAAGCACCTTACTACTCAATCTTAGATATTTTCCAATCAAGTTATTCAGAAATAATATGAAACTCCTCTGGAGCAGGTGGGACTTGAACCAAGTCCTCCTAGTCCAGAATAAAGGACTCTACCACTGCTCCACAAGCACCTTACTACTCAATCTTACAGCTTCTTCCACACGCCAATTCCACCCGTTTCTCCCTTTATATCCATTCAGTCAATTTATTAACCAATGAACACCAATAACCTGCCTGCCTACTTGCCATATTAACAACTCTGTCAAACACAGCTCACCTCTAGATTTCTCAGGAGATGAGACATTTCTTAAGATCATGAAACAAGCCCTCGTGCACTGTTTCAAAAAAATGGAGTTCCATCTGCTCAGTAGTCAGCAGGTTAGGATAGCATTGATGGAAATGTTTAACACCAAGAAATCGTAGATGTCCAAGACAAGAATGTGAGCTTACTTGAAACTCCTATTGATTGCTTCAAAATATCTTGTGATGTATTCAACAGAACTATGGCATCTGAAGATTAGTAGACAGTGGAACTGAGCAAACAAACTTTCAAATCTGGCATTATACCTTTTAGAATCTAATCTGATTTCCCACCTTTTAGCTTTCTTGCCTAGTAACAGCAGAAACTGTTTAAAGGACAACAACTGTCCTCACAACCTAGTATAGATCACGTGTTGTCACTCTGACTACATCACTTTTGCAATTAATTGAGGACCCCAAGCCAATCGTTACAGCCAAAGTCACGGATGTTACAATTGTGCATTCTCCTCTCCCTTCCCTTTTTGAGCCGCAAGGCTCGAAGATCAGTTTTACTGGAAATGTTACTGGTCCTGGTAGACTTAGCTAACTCAAGCCATAGCAGGAACTGAACCAGAGACGTTGGTGTATGGCCCAGTGCCAACTGATGATACATCACCTGCTGAATGGACTGCATCATTGTCTGCCATTTTTTTCTACTTAAGAGGACGGTAAAGGCCAAGTCAGCATTTTAATAGTGCCTTTCACATCCCAAAGTGCTTGACAGCTAATGAAGTCATTTTTGGAGAGACAGTCACTGGTGTGGGGTGGGGAAATGCAACAGATCTTCTAGACAAACCAAACTCACATGAATGAGGAAAATTACCAGTTTTTTGTTTACTGATGTTGTTTATGGGATAAATATTGCCCATGGACGCCAGTGAGAACTTCTCCGCTCTGTTTTAAATAGCAAGAGATCTGGTATATCCACCTGAAGGTGTATTTTAGGCCATTTTAAGAGTGGGGAGGCATTTCTTCACTCAGAGGGTGGTGAATCTTTGGAATTCTCTGTCCCATAGGGTTGAAGAATGTCAATCGTTCAGACAGAAGTCAATAAATTTCTAGAGACTAATGACATCAAGGGATATAGATATAGGAATGTGGCATTGAGATAAAAGATCGTCTATGATCTATCTGACTGGTGAAGAAGGCTCAATGGACTATTTTTAAATACAGTAGTGTATCTACCTTCACTTCACTAACCAGTGACGATTTGAGTGGCCCCCTCATTACCCTCTCATTTTCTTCCTCTTTCATGTATGTTCAATTAATATCAGTGATAAGTGCCTTCCCCAAGTTGCTGCAGTTCTTATCCTGGTCTACTAATCTTCAGACTTTTCAGTGTAGACATATTTCTGACAGCACTTTTGTACATTATTCAGTTTACTGTTGTACTAATGCAAGTTCCCCTCATCATTGGCAAGACTAACTTGAGAATGATGAGCTTCACTTATACCCATGATGCTCATGGGGCTCACAGGAAGGAGCTGAATGCATACCTGCATTAGGATCTGGAAGTGAATCTCAAAGCTTCATTCATTGTGAACCAACTGGCATCAGCAGCAAATTTCCATTTTAATTGAATCTATAATCTAGTAAAATGTCCCAAGGCATTTCACCAATAAAATTCATCTAATGCTTAGCCAAAGGAGTAGTTTTACCTCACCTGCAAAAGAGCAGGTTTAAAGGAGGAGAGAGAGGTGAAGACACTTAGGAAAGAAATTCCTGAGTTCAAGGTGCAGTTAGCTGAAGGGGCAGCCATTGATGGTGGAGCAATTCATAGCAGGAAAGGGCAAGAAGCCAAAACTGGAGGAGTGAAGGGGTAGTTGGGAGATTTTAGTACTGGAGGAGGTTTGAGGGAGATGGGGAGGGCTTGACCAGATTTAGGTTAAAGAATGAATAGTCAGAAAACTGGTCGCATGACAAATTAGTTATCATTAGTCTTTTACGATATATTTTAAACACTTCAGCTGCTGCCTTTTTTATTTTTAATGTACGTACTTTCTTGCATTTGGTGCTCAGTTTGAGCAGTGCGGGAAGTTAATTATTAAATAATAATTAGAATCATGCCAGATTCAAAACCTGTAGGCTACAACATGATGTGGAAGTGAAGAGAAAGGAGGGGTCTTGTTTCTTTAGAAGCACCTTCCAAACATCTAACCTCACCCTCCTTTGGGACAATGGCAGCACAAGCTGTGGAAACACCATTACTGCCAAGTTCCTCTCTCAAATCACACATCATCCTGAGTGGGACATTTATCACCCATTCCTTTGTGGTCACTGTGTCAAACTCTTAGAACTCACCACTTGGCAGCACTGTGGTTGTACCTTCACCACACAGAGTGTACTGGTTAAACCCCACCAGTACCTTCTCAAGGGCAACAAGCAATGAGCAAATGATAACATGGCAAAAATTAATTTTTAAACAAAGAGTTCGAGATTCTATGAAGCCTGGATTCATTGGAGATTATAATATTTCCAATGAGCCTTCCCACTTAGTAAAGAAAGGGATGGGAAAGTAGTGACCATTACAGAGACATTTTTCTAAATTATTCTTTTAAAAACATTTGACGGTGGACGATGGGAATAAGAAATTGAAAACACTATTGGCCTGAACTGAATGGCAGCTTTTTCCTGTCGCTGCTATGTGAACACTTCCAGATCTAGAAAAGTTCATCTTAGCTCCTGCAAGAGCAGAAACTATGGGAACTAAAACTCACCCACTTTGTACTGATTTCCTCCTTGCTACACTTTTTCATATTAAACACTAATTCTGGAATCAATCAAAACTGCTGAGTGAATGACCAATCTCTGTCTCCTCCTTCAACCCCAAGATCAGAGTTGCCAGTCTAAACTCCACATGATACCAGAGGTGGCTGAAGGTTCTGGATACTGCAATGTCTCTGGGCCTTGGCAGCATCCTTGCAGTAGTACTGAAAATTAGTGCTCCAGGACTAGCTGTGGACCTCGCCAAGTTGTTCCATTACAGTGACAGCACTGGCATCTACCCAACAATGTCGAAAATTGTTCAGGTTTGTCCTGTCCATAAAATGCAGGACAAGTCCAACCTGACAAATTACCATCCCATTACTCAATACAACTGAGCATCAGGTGTCAATGACTTGAGGCACTTATTTAGCAAAAAACCAGCCCAGTGAGCCCTGTTTGTGTTTTGTCAGGGCCGTTAGGCTCCTGACATCTTTGTTCAAACATAGGCAAAAGTTCTAAATTCCAGTGTTGAGTTGAGAATCACTGCCTTTGACATTAAGGCAGCATTTGACAAATTGCAGCATCAAGGATCCGTAGCAAAACTGGAGTCGATTGAAATCAGGAAAGAAATCTCTCCATTGCTTGTCAAACCTAACCCAAAGGAAGGTGGGTTGTTGGAGACCAAAGATCTTTGCCCCAGAGATTCACTGCAGGAGTTTCTATCAGTAGTATCCTATCCCAACCACCTTTTGCTTCTTCAGGGATGATATTCTTTCTACTGAAGTAGGGATATTCACTGACAATTGTACAGCATTCAGTACCATTCAGATTTTCCCCAAATATTGAAGCAGTGGTCGCTTACAGGCTGCAAAACGTGACAACATTCAGGCTTGGGCTGATAAATGGCTGTAATGTTCACATGCACAAAGTGCCTGACAATGACCTTATCTAATAAGAGAGACAGCATCTAAAATCCTCCCCTTAACATTAAACAGAATTATCAGTTTCTCTACTGTTAACATTCTGATCAATAATATTGAACTTAATTGCACCAGCTACATAAATACTGTTATTTACATGAATAAGTTTAAGGCTGAGTATTCTGATTAAAAGTGACTCATCTGCTGACTTGGAGATAGCAGATGCTGGAGTCAGAATCGATACAGTGTGAAGCTGGAGGAACACAGCACGTCAGGCAGAATCAGAGGAGCAGGAGAGTCGATGTTTCAGGTTGGGACCCTTCATCAATGTCGACTTTCCTGCTCCTCTGGTGCTGCCTGACCTGCTGTGTTCCTCCAGCTCCACACTGTATTGATTCATCTGCTGACTTGTCAGTCTTTGTCCATCTTCTGCAAGGCATAGCTCAGGAGTATGATGGAATACTCTTCATATGCCTTGATGGGTGTAGCTCTAAAAATACTCAAGAAACTCAGCACCATCCAAGACAAAGTATCCCAAATGGTCAGCACCCATTTACCGCTTTAAACATTCATTCTCTCCTGTATCAGTGCACAGTGGAAGCAGTGGCTCCCATCCACAAGATGCACTGCAGCAACTTGCAAAGACAAGCCCTTCCAAACACATGACCTCTGCCATCTAAAAGGACAAGGGCAGCAGGTACAGGTGAACACCACCACCTGCAAGTTCCTGTCCAAGCCACTCACCATGCTGACTTGGAAATATATCGCCCTTCCGTTAATGTCACTGGGTAAATATCCCAGAACTGCCTCCCTAATGGCATTATGGATGTATCTACACCTCACCAAGAACAGTGGCTCAGGAAGACAGCTGACCACTACTTTCTCTTGGGCAATTAGGGGAAAATAATACATGCTGCTCTTACCATCGCTACTTACATCCTATTAATGAATAAATTAGAAAAGATCGAAGATAATTGAATGTTAGCCTAACCCTTGATTGGTTTAAGGCCAGGTAAAATCTTTTATGTTGTTTGGATTTAAGGTGACAACAGGACATGTTTACATGGCAAGCTCTATTATGGTAAGGGAAACTTCCTGATCTTCCCTTCCAAGAGTGAAGATGTAATGTGGCTTTCTTCACCTGTGACTTGTAGAAGATCCAAAGAATACAGAGGACTCTGGTTTGCTGGAGAGCCTAAGCTGTAAATCAAAGACTGCCTGCCAAAGAAAACAATCCAACTGAATTTTGTATCCGCCCAACACACATGGCCAAATACCTGGAACTCTCAGTAAAAGGGGTCAGGGAATGTTTCTCAATTTGTTGGACTTCAAAGCTTAGCCTGAAAGGCCTCATTCAGAAGCCAACCTGCACTCCTTAGAAGTAAGAACCTCAAGTTTTGAAAAAGGATTTCCTTTGGATTTTGATCGATTTGGAACATTGAAGATGATACATTTGTCGCATCATGCAGCTATGATCTTTAAACTTCTTTTGGCTCCTCCTATTTTCTCTTGGGCTGCCAAGGGTTGTGGATCTGATGGACTTCCTCATCTCTCCGTAATTGGATTTCTAATATCTGGGAATGCTTGCCTGAAGCGATTAGGAATTAGTAACCAGTACTGACATTGAAAGTCTCTAAGTTCCTTTGAATTCTTCATTTTATTCCATTCAATTTGTAATTATATCACATGACTGTGAACGTAGCAAAAGTATTGCAAGAGGTAGTGCAGTCTGACTAATTACTATCAGCTTCAGACAAGTCTGTACTAGAAATTAATCAACTTTGGTGTGCTTTGGGTATGCTATATTTTGGTTTCTGTTATTGATCTACTTTGAATGCAAAAGGAATTTAACTGTGTGGCCCTGGTGTATGCAACACAATTCTTTTTAACCAGAAGCAGAATATTTCAAATCCTTAAAATTTTGACTCATTCTCAGATCTAGAGTTTTAACAAAGCACCACTCCAACTGTCTCAGATCCTTGAAATCTTGGCTGGCAAGGCCTCCTGAGATTTAAGAATTTGGGAAGGCTTCCACTTTGGATCTGTAAGTATAGTGTTTGTCAATACCCTGTATTTTATTTGCTGAGTTGATCATATGTTCCAAAATCCACTTTCCATTTCACTCCCTCTCCTTCTGACGCATTCAGAATATGCCATCTTAGCTCAATTGCAGAAAAAGTATTCAATCCAAGAAAAGTGGGAATAAATTCACAGATCTCTGTATGCCCTCTTTGGCATGGGTACAATATGTATATGTTATATTCTGCTCTGTGTTACGATGAGTGTTGAGAAAAGTTTGCAACACACGAGTTGGAAGGTGTTACTTTGATGTCACTAACACTTTTTTTTCTCTCACCATCCACCCTCTCCTCACCCTTTCTTGGTTCTAGGTGGAGGAACGCTCCAAGTTAAACCGCCAAAGCTCGCCAGCAATGCCACATAAGATGGGAAATAGGATGTCTGACCCAAGCATGCCGCCTCGTTCCGAATCATTTAGCAGCAGTGCAGTGCAGGCTGCACGAACCCCACCAATGCATAGACCTGTAGAGCCTCAGGTAGCAGAGTCAATAGTTCCTACATTCCTCGCATCTTGCTTGCATGGAGGACTGCTTGAAATATTCTGGATTGCTGATGCTTCCCGAAAATGCTATGCCTGCTTTGCAACCCTATGTAGAATTTTACAACAGAGAAAGAGGCCATTCAGTCCTACATGGGCCTCTGCTGGCATTCATGCTCCTTCCAAGCCTCTTCCTGCCATACCTTATCTCCCATTGTCAACATATCCTTCTCTTCCTTTCTCCCTCATGAATTTATTCAGCTTCTCCTTAGATACATCTATGTTTTTGTCTGAACCACACTGAGGTAAGGTGTTCCCTATTCTCACCACCATCAAGCAAGGAATTTTCTCATGAATTTCCAATTGGATTTATTAATAACTATCACTGTGGCCAGTAAATTTTGATATCTTTCCATTGTGCCTCCCCCGCTCCTTAAATGGAAACAGCTCCTTTGTTCAGACAAATGAGCCCATTCGTAATTTCATGTTTCCTGGGAGGTTCCTGGTTTACTATGCCTAACGGTGAGAATCTGTGAGTTTAGGACATTTTCAGACACTTGCACTTTCTCCAGTGCTTCTTTACCTGTTCCTGTGCTTGTGCTAAGTCAGTTTCAGAATGACAGACTCAGGGCTAGCTCAAGTTGGTCTCAACTCTTGTTGGAAATCTTATGCTGATGCACCCCATCTACTGGAACCAGATCCTGGAAACCTGGGAAGTCTGAATAAGATAACAGGAATGGAGAAACATCTGGAAGATGAGAATTAGGAAGGAGTGAAACACAAAGGTCAAAGTTCAGGAGACAGGGCCCATTAGGTGACTTCAAGATAGATAGGAAAGCCACCTATTCTCCCTTCTTCAGTGAATGAACCCACCCCCCCATTACCCACCTACCCTCACCCCATCATCATTGTGTCCAGCTGCTTTTTCAACAGTTCTAGAGGATGAGGCTCCATTATTTTCATGCACAGAAATTCCCTTCCTTGCGACAGTCACTCGGTGTGTGTGTGAGACAAACACCATATGCTTGGCCTCAAATCTGCCACAAGATGATGTAATGGATTTGCAGATTTGGGAGGTAACTCTAATTTCCTTCTGCGCAGGTCCAAGTAGCTCACCTGGTTCCTTTGAAACCGCACAGTACTTCCATGACGGGTTCCCAGTCCCTTCACGAGCAGCCAACTAAGAGTATGTCCAGCGCTTTCCATTCACAAGAGGGGCTAGTGTCACATCGCGCCGAAATGCCACGGCAGAACTCCGACCCCACATCAGAAACCCCACCCCTCCCTCCCCGCCTTGGGTCAAGAGAAGAAAAGTGTGGGGGCAGCGTTTGGCACAGGCAAGAGGAGGACACCCCACCCAAGGTAATCAACTCGTCGTGCATCTCGCCTCATCTCTCTCTGTAAGGCAGCACTGAGGCCGATATAGGGTTGTCAAGACCTGACAGTATTCCAGGAGCTACCAGTCCATGACCTCCAGTCACGCCTAGCCCCTGTCGCTGGTATCTCAGTAAGCCTCCTGTCCCAGAGACCAATCTTATCATTACCAATTTAGAACATGAACACACTATTTGTTAGCAAAGTGTTGATTTTGACTATGCAACAGCCTGTCCTCACCCCCTCAATCTCCCTACATTTTTGGAACAAATAAGTGAAATTGTTGGCAGCAATTTAAATAAGCCTCTCTTTTTGTTTTCATTTCTTGATCTTTTTTTCTTGTGACCAGGTTAATCTTTGATTTCTGGAGACTTTAAGACAGTCTTGGAGGGTTGGCATATCCTAGGTTCAAGGTGTACCATACATTGTAGGTTCCATACAAGCAAGATACTCAGATCAAACCAGGCCAGTGGTATCTGGGTCAAGCGCCATCCAGTGGTGGGATTTTAGGTCAGCACTTGGACAAGTGAAAGGGATGAGATACCTGGAGCTAAATTGTCAGTCTGAATGAAGCTGTTGACTTGCTTGCCGAGCTGGCTGGTTGTAGTTCAGACGTTTCGTCACCATGCTAGGTAACATCATCAGTGTGGCCTCTGATGACGCGACATCACTTCGTCGGAGGCCGCATTGTTGATATTACCTAGCATGGTGATGAAACGTCTGAACTACAATCAGCCAGCTCAGCGAGCGAGTCAACAACCTCATCCACAATCCCAGCTACAAATCTTGTCAGTCTGAATCTTCAGGTATTCCAGTCTCCTGCTGTTATTTTGCCTTTGAGAATGATAGAATGCCAGGTTATTCTATTTTTCTTTTGGGGCAGCAAATACTATTTCTATCGAATTGTAAAGCTCAGAAGAAACCCAGACAATCCATCACGCCAATGCTGTCTCTCAGAAAGGACTATGTGGTTCATCCCGTTCTCCCTTGCAGTGCAATAGTTTCTCCTTCAAATATTTATCCAATTCTTATCTGGGCAGCGTTTTCCAGATCACAATAACTTGACGCTTAAAAGAAACAAATTGTTTCCTCTTGCCTTTGTTTCTTCCTTCAATTTTTCTTCAATCTGTTTCCCTCTGGTTACCGATCATCCTACCACTGGAAACAGTTTCTTCCTATGCACTCAAACAAAATTGTTCGTGAATTTCAGAGATAGTAGGAACTGCAGATGCTGG